TTATCAAACTCAACACCCAAAAAATAAATGATCCAGTGAAGAAACGGACAAAAGAAGTGAATAGACACTTCTCCAAAGAAGACATCCAGATGGCCAGCCAGCACATGCAAAAATGCACCACATCATTCATCATCAGGGAAGTACAAATCAAAAGCACAATGAGATACCAGCTCACACCAGTCAGAATGGCTAACATTAACAACTCATGCAACAACAGATGTTGACGAGGATGTGGAGAAAGAGGATGTCTTTTGCACTGCTGGTGGGAATGCAAACTGGTGCAGCCACTCTGGAAAACACTATGGGGCTTCCTCAAAAAATTAAAAATAGAACTATCCTACGACCTAGCAATGGCACTAGTAGGAATTTATGCAAGGGATACAGGTGTGCTGTTTTGAAGGGGCACATGCACCCCAGTGTTTATAGCAGCACTACTAACAATAGTGAAGTATGGAAAGAGCCCATATGTCCATAGATGGATGAATGGATAAAGAAGATGTGATGTATACACACACACACACACACACACACATGCACGCACACACTGGAGTATTACACAGCAGTCAAAAAGAATGAAATCTTGCCATTTGTAACTACATGGATGGAACTAGAGATTAGTATGCTAAGCGAAATTAGTCAGAGAAAGACAAATATATGACTTCACTCATATGAGGACTTTAAGACACAGAACAGATGAACATAAGGGAAGGGAAGCAAAAATAATATAAAAACAGGGAGGGGGACAAAGCATAAGAGACTCTTAAATATGGAGAACAAACAGAGGGTTACTGGATGGGGTTGTGGGAGGGGGGGATGGGTTAAACGGGTAAGGAGCATTAAGGAATCTACTCTGAAATCATTGTTGCACTATATGCTAACTAACTTGGATTAAATTTTAAAAAAGTTTTTTTAAAAAGAAAAAGAAAAGTGAAGTGACATCATCAGTGAAGGTTTTAAAGGAAAAAAATTGGGGCTAGTTCATATTGGCTTATGTTCCAAGAACCCTGAGAAAAATGAAAATTTATTAGATAGGCAGCCAAGACCTCATAAAGATAAAATGTAATACCAGGTATGAAGACCATATTTTAAGAAAAGAGATATAGTAACAAGAAAAAAGTTAATTCCTTTAAAATTTAAAAATCTAGGTTGTGATGCACAGATTGATAAGTAATGATTAAATTTAATTTTACTGTGTTAAAATGTGGTACAGCAAAAGAAGTAGTGTTCTTTATGTATATATGTAAGTAAGCAATCTCTACACCCAACATAAGGCTGGAACCCACTACCCTGAAATCACACACTCCTCTGACTCAGCCAGCCAGACACCCCAAGAAGTAGTGGTTTATGTGTGAGCCAGTTATGTTTTTGTATTCTTTAAAGAAGGCTGGGGCGCCTGGGTGGCTCAGTTGGTTAAGCGTCCGACTTCAGCTCAGGTCATGATCTCATGGTTCGTGGGTTCGAGCCCCATGTCGGGCTCTGTGCTGATGGCTAGCTCAGAGTCTGGAGCCTGTTTCGGATTCTGTGTCTCCCTCTCTCTCTGACCTGCTCCTGCTCACATAGTCTCTCTCTCTCAGAAATAAATAAAATATTAAAACAAAAAGGCTAGAAATTTTTCTCTCAGCAGTGTCCTAAAGACTGATTGCATCGTGATTAGAACTTAATTATTTAAGAACAATTACTTTGGCAAAAAAACTCTTACACCAAAACATTTTTTATAAATGTGGCTGGTAATTCCAATGGATTGTTTATGTTTTGTAACCACTTGATGGAACATAGAAGACGATCATCATCATTGTCAAAAAGTTATTAATTGATGTATGAATGGTACTCTTTAGATTACAAAGGAACTCAGGTGGTGTGGATGGTTTTTTATGATACTGTGCTAGGGTTAAGCACAGAGAAAACCTAATCCTTTTTGAATCCATCTCTCTAGGATCTTATAGTTGTCAAAATAATGTCACCAAACATTTTTATAACACTTTTACATTCTTTTTTTTAGTGGAACATCTGTTTAAGTTAAGTAGGAACAATAGAAATAGAGTATTTTACAGAAGAGTTCATTGAGATTTAGTGAGCTATTCAAGGATGTATAGTTACAAAAACATAGTAAACACCACCAGAATCCAGAGCTCTTGACTCCTAGTTCAAGGAGTTACCAACTAAGAGTTCATGCAGCAGTAGTCTAGGATAGATGATTTGAAAATACAGCAAAATTGTTTAAATGAACTATTTTTTGTTAAGTGCCTATTTTGTGCAAGGTTTTGTGTCAGTTTTATTTGATTCAAAAATGAGAAAAATCATAAGTACACATGAAATTATATTATATAGTGGTAATACAAATAGACATAGGCTATTTAAAATAATAAAATGATTATATTATATGAAAGCTAAAAGCACCTTTTAGGGCTAATGTAATAGAAAACCCCTTATATAGGGGTATACAATTAAAAGAGAATTAGGAGAAAATAGCCAAAGAGTTTTTATTTACATGTGAAGAGAATGACTCTGAGATTGAGGGGCCATTATTCTTCAAGGAGGGTAGCATTTCACATTTACTTAAGTAGGTTTACTGAGCAGTAAGATTGAACAGGAGTGGTTTTGGAAATTTGAGGTTAATCCTCTGATTACATGCTAAGGCATATAATCAGAGATAGCTGAAACCTTGGAGACTGTCTAGTCCTTGCATTAATTTTACAGCTAAGGAAACTGAGACCTAGAGTGATTCTGAGTTACTTGACAAAAGTCAGTCACACAACTAGATGGGGACAGAACTGGAATCAAATTCCTTCTAAATGCCTGGATATGAGAAAACAATGCAATAGATTGATAATAGTACCTAGAAGGTGGCAAATTGTGGGCATATATTGGATCTATGGAGTTAGAATATAATTTCTACAGAGATGTGATTTCTGTCAGTCTTTTAAAGACAAGAAAGAGGATGGTCAACTAGTTTTTTGTTCCTTGAGCAGAGCAAATAAAAATAGAAGGATGTAGTAATCCATGGAGGAATTTGAAAAGTAGGATGAGCTGTCTGATGGCACATATAAAAAAGACCTTCCCAGCAATGTCAAAGACATTTTATTAATAACAGTGATAAAGATAATGTGATAATATGAACATCAACAACAGCAGGTTCCTTTTATTGAATGTTTACCCTCTGTCCAGGCATCATGTCAGGCATCTTAGGTACATTAGTCTATTACCTAGTATCACTGTGCCATTTTGCAGATGAGGAAACTAAATCTCAGATTGTTATTACACCATTTCCACAGGAAGTTGGCTATTGAATAAAAATTTGAATTCTTTTGTTTGAATTCTAGCGCTAAGGTTTTTCAAACTTGACTGTTGAATAAGCCCTCCTTCTAATCTGACCCATACCCCGTATTGACTTATTTTTATTATAGGACTACTTAACAAAGTATAAATATAGTATAAATATAAATTCCTTAAGCTTATAGCACTTATATAATTTTTTAAAACTAAAAAAAATTACAGGTTAAATATAAGCAAAATTTTAAAAATAAATAAAATTTGAATTATTGACATTAATGTGAAAGAAGTGTTTGTTTGTTTCTTTGTGTTTTGCTAAAATGAAAATATCGATTGCAAGATGAATTTGTAGCTAACCCTTCTGGCATAGTTCTTTTGACTTTGATATGCCTGTATTGCCACGTGCTTTGTGAGAACTTGGTTTCCTGCCACTTGTCTTTATTTTGACCTCTTCACAATGTCCCTTCAGACAATACTTTGTTGTATCATTTGATGTTCATTTGGTATAATCCATTATTGTTGATTCTACCTCTTTTCTCATTAGTTATGATGAAGTACTAACCCCTTGGTGCCAATTTGATGGCTTACGGTTCTGAAAGGTCATGTCAATATGTATTAGTTATAACATAATGGTCATCCAGGTAATGTAGAATATGCTTATGTTATGTATTATTCAGGTTATCATCTAGAAGAACCCACGAAATTTAAGATATCACAAACTACAAACCATAACCAGGCCTCTGGTGTTTCCACTTAAAGAAAAAATTACACCATAGAACCATCTGGTTTCTTCAGGGTAATAGTAGAGACCCAGGAAAGCTTCTGTCTGCACCTACTTTTGGTGCTATCTTCATTTAGGCCGCCACTATTTTGCATCTCAGTTTCTACCACAGCCCCTAGTTTTACCCCCAGGAAACTGTTCCTTACAGTGCATTCCATACTAGTGAGTTTTCTATAATACAAATTTTAAGGACTCAACTTAGGAATCACCTCTTTCTGAAACCTTTCCCCTACTGATTCTCCTTACCTCCTGCTTTTTCACTATCCTGATCCCTAGACTGAATTAGTTTTCTTTCCTCTATTTCTCCTTTACAACTCCCATCATATCAAGGAAGCCTATCTCTGTTACAGTGCTTAGTACATTGTGTTATAATCCTTAATTTTTTGTTTTTTCCAAGTAGACTATTAGCTTCTTGAAAGTAGGTCCTGCCTTGTGCATCTTCTAACTAGCCCATTGTCTGAATGGGAAGAAAGTTCTAGTGATAAAGCTGTGATTTTGAATCACTGGTCAGTCAGGGGGTTCTTTTGTTTGTTTTGTTTTTTATTTTAAAGAAAGAGAGAGAGAACATGAACAGGGGAGAGGGGAAGAGGGAGATAGAGAGAGATAATCTTAAGCAGGCTCCACACTTAGCACTGAGCCCAGCATGGGACTCGATTCCACAATCCTGAGATCATGACCTGAGACAAAATTAAGAGTTGAATGCTCAGTTAGCTGAGCAGACACCCCCAGGCAGTTGTTATTTTAAAAGTGAGTAGTCAAAAATAGGCAAGAGCAAAGAATATATTTCCTCATCTTTCCCATTTGAGTATGTAAAATTTATACAAATTACCTAGTTAATGTAGTAGATTCGTTTAGCATGTACGCAACATACTTTTAGAAGCAGTCTTTCCATAAAGCATTAAATGCTGGCATCATCTTGCTTTCTCTTGTTTTGTTTCCTCATGGTTAGGTGCTGTGATTGTCTCCACACCCCAGGACATCGCACTGATGGATGCACACAAGGGTGCTGAGATGTTTCGTAAAGTCCATGTGCCTGTAAGCATGTATAACTTTATTGTTATGAGACACTCTAACTGAAGAACCAAGTCATTGAGAAATAACAGCCCAAATTTTAATTTAGTTCTCTACAGAAATCTTTATGAAAACCCTACTTCGTCTTTATGGTTACTGTAACAACACACATATAGGTGCAAATGTATATGCACATTGTATTAATCAAGAAAGATTCTAATTGTACTAAAATATTTTTGAAAAAGAATTCTAAAACATCCTTGAGGTATGAGTTTTGTGAATAAATACCACCCTTCCAAATACTCAAAGCTATTATTGACCAAAAAAAAAAGCCTACCTGAGGGTTTAGGTAGATACACTTGAATAGAGCTCTGGTGGGAAGACAGGTGGGAAAGGTGACTTTTTTCCTTCTGTTACCAATTTAACTTATCCATAGCTCACTGTCTTCTAAAATGTATTTGCAGATTTTCTATACAATATGACAAAATAAGACAAGTTAATACAATATTAAGACAAAGGACTATTAAAATGAGGGTTATAAGTGAATCTGTAAACAAACTGCATGCCATTAAGGGACTTAAATACATGCAAGAAGTTTGCCATGAATTTTCCAGCAGCCACATAGGGTTTTTATAAAACTGTCCATTTCCATGAGGATAGAAAGAGCTTGATGTTCAAGGGAAAGAGAGCCGAGACCAAAGAGGCATAAATCTCTCCTAGGTTCTCAGAAAAAAGAAACCCTTTATATAATGAACCCACTCATTACCTTTTTTTAAAAACCATAAATAGGGGCATCTGGGAGGCTCACTTGGTTAAGGGTCCAACTCTTGATTTCGGCTCAGGTCATGATGTCACAGCTCATGAGTTCAAGCCCTCAGTCGGGACCTGCTCTGACAGCATGAAGCCTGCTTGGGATTCTCTGTCTCTTCCTCTCTCTGCCCCTCCCCCGCTGTGCTTTCTTTCTCTCAAAATAAATAAATTTAAGTAAACAAACAAAAAACATAAATAGAAGGTTTTTACTCATAGTGTGCATCAGCAAAAGCAAGTGGACTTGTGCCAGAATACAGTTTAAAACAAGCATTTTTGTAGAAAGCCAACATGATGCCTCCATCTATAGGGCTATCAGATGGCCTTGATTAATTTAGGGGTAGATTTTAGATCTTACAGGGCAGAGTTTTTTAGGGTTCAGCCCATGGATTAGCTTCAGGAGTCTCATGATTCTTTATCCTTTTCCTCACCCCCAAAATTGTATGTTCACTTTGAGTTTGTTTTTTGGTATGGAGAGAACTCATAACTTCCATTGAATACCTCAGTGAAACTGTAACATGGCATCAGATCCAATGATGTACTAGCATGAGTGGACTCTCTTTCATTAATGTTCTTTTCTCAAGGGAGCTTCTGAAAAGTATAAAGTAGTTGAGTAGAGGAGTTGAGATGATCCTCCTTGATAAGTACCTCTTCCCCCTTGCCAGTTAGTACCGAGCTGTATGCATTAACAAGCCATGGAGCTCTGGACTGGATTCACATTGTTTCATGAAAATCTGTTTATACAGGCATAATCCTTATCAGGCTCCTTAGAAATGCTGATGCATAGGAGCACATGTACCCCAGTGTTCATAGCAGCACTCTCCACAATAGCTAAAACATGGAAAGAGCCTAAGTGTCCATCAATGGACGAATGGATCAAGAAGATGTGGTTTATCTATACCATGGAATACTACATGGCAATGAGAAACAATGAAATCTGGCCATGTGTAGCAACATGGATGGACCTTGAGGGTGTTATGCTGAGCGAAATAAGTCAGGCAGAGAAGGACA